GAGACAAGGGTTCGGAAATCGAGACACAGATTGCTATCGATACTGTTCGGTCCTCAGTTTTGATTAATTAACATAGCTTTGATTGTAATGTGTCAAAATTTGGTACTGATGTCAATTAGGCCTATGATTGGTTAATTCGTATAAACGCATTAAAATTATATTGTAGGATTCTTTCCACCCAAAGACGAGGTAAAAACCAGACCCCGATACGTCAAGAATCTTGATCTCTAGGACCCAGAAAACCTTTTGGCAAGTATTTCGCTAAATAATTATAGGTTATTTCCAATCAGTCATGAGTGTCTACGTAATAAACATAGGTTCACAGTCATACTTTTGTAACCAAACAATATTGACACTGTCAAAATTAATACCAGGATTTTCGCTAGCATAGTGGTTATCGAGTGAAACTTCGTTGCGGGAGAGACGGGTTCAAATTCTGGCATATCAAAAATTAATTAAGGGTTAGGACCACTACTTAAAAAAAAGTATAACATTCTTCCACACAAAATATCAAATAAAAATAAATCGTTAATAAAAAAAACACTCTATAATCAAATAAATACACGACTGTAATCTTAATTTTGAAAGACACCACGACACTCTACAGCCGTCGATGACCGATGTAGGCCTACACACATCTCTCGATATGTTAGGGTTTAGTTCAACCCCCGTATAACACCCGGCCGGTGTCGGTGGCGTGTTAGGGAGGGATGAAGAGAACCTGCACTGTATGACTAGACTGAAGGGTTCTCGCCGGGAGAGCTCTCAGTCCCACTTATCAACTATAATCAACAACCTCCCCTCCACTGCCACTCCCTCACAACACGGTCTAGCAGTTTTTGCCCCGCATTATTGCACCGCCATATGACACTCGTTTTTATTTCGCTGACTCGAAAACACTTTGCCCCTGTTGTCACCCCGGTCTCCCATAACGCGTGATTTGTATCGGTAACGTTTTTATGTTATGTCTGGTGCTGGTGTAAATGTGGTTTGGGCGAAGAAGTTTCTCGGATTTATTTTAAAGATGTGTAAGGTCGGATACAACATTTTTGTGTAAACATTTAAGGGAAAATAAATTATTTGGATGTTGCTACTTCTATTTATGATGGATGGTAAAGTACGTTGCGTTTTTTAGATCTTAATTTGTACGTTGAGTTTTTGGGAAGTTTACAAAATCCTACTAATATTATAAATGAGAAAGTTTGGATGTATGGATGTATGGATGTATGGATGTATGTTTGTGACAAGTGAACGCGAAAAATACTGGTCGGATTGGGCTGAAATTTGGCATGATGATAGCTCACATTCCCGATTAACATATAGGCATATTCTTATTTCAAAAATCCTTTCGGGCTCCGCCCCAGTGGCTCTGGAGTTTCCCGTGTTAACCTTATGAGAAATGAAATTATTGAATCTTAACAGCTGTTTCAATTAAACAAGTTGGTTCTGTTCTGTGATGTTCAATAGCATTAAAGTTACAAAAATTACCAACAGGGTGCAGCACTATTATTTCTTTTACATTTATGACAACAGCTAATTTGCAACCAAAAGGTGAGTGAGCGTAGCGAACGAACTTCAACCTGGAGGCGAGTTAGCGCAGCGAACGAGCTAACCTGAAGGCAAGTGAGCGCAGCGAACGAGCTCCAACCTAAAGGTGAGTGAGCGTAGCGAACGAGCTCCAACCTAAAGGTGAGTGAGCGTAGCGAACGAGCTCCAACCTAAAGGTGAGTGAGCGTAGCGAACAAACTTCAACCAGGACGTGATTGAGCCATGCGAACGAGATAATCTTGAAAATTAAGAAGTTAAACGGGGCAAAGCCCGCGGGTTACAGCTAGTAAACAATAAAATAACGTATGCTGGTTTGCCAACACACGATGCTGGTTTGCCAACACACGCAAGCGGTGACAATGTTTACGAAATGTTACGGACCCGTGAAATATAATATGGTTTAGTATATTGTTGCTTCCATATGATTCTGTGTTGTTACCTTCCTATGAATATAGTTTGTCCCACTTTGTTCCGTTTAACTAATCCCATTTTAACTCAACGCTCTCGTAATTTCCCACCCCTGATTAGCTCACAAAAAACATCCGAAATCCCCAAATCGAATCCGGCGTCAAAGCGAAACAATCCATGTCAATAATGTCGAATAAAACGAGATCAAATGCTCGATACAATAATTTGATCGAATTAGTTCTGTGCCGTGATTGTAGCCGTGTATAACTGCCACCCCCTGCGGTTGCCATGGAAACCCTCCCTTCCCGCCATCCCTCGGGTGTCTTTTCTTTTCATTTCCTTTCCGTATTGCTCTCATAGACGTTCCCAGTTCTTTTCACTCCGGGGTTATTGGGCAAGGGTTTGGCATTGAGGGGGAGAGAGAGAAATAGAGGATTTCTCCCTTTTCTCCTAGGGGCTTTATGCTCCAGTAATCACTGACAAATCCATCTCGAGGCTCCGTCTCTCTAAGTTTTATAATAAAACGATTTGCCTCCCCGATTGGCGTCGTTTAGGTTGCTGACAACCCCCTCATCCCCCCCCCCCCCCCCAACCTTGTGACATCCCGACCTATATGTTTCGATAACGTCTTTGTCCGTGTTCCACCTTATATTCACTTCCTTTCGTTCCATCTTGTGACCCAAAGGTTTGCCATCCATCTTTGAGAGGATAAAGGAATAGGAGGCAGTTACTCGTCAACAGTTTTTGGATTGACTTGTATACAAGGCCAATATATTTTGTAACCAAAATTGTAAGTTTCTTCTGTTTAACATTTGCGAAGGTGTTTTACCATAGTGTAGCACTTTAATGGATACATAAACATTTTCTTGAAATATGTTACTGTGATAAGAATTTTTTAAATATATTTTTTTATTGCTGGAGAATTTGAATTGGCTGTTAATTAAAGTGCAAAGTGGTTATTCTTGTAAGGCGAACATAAAATAATAAACATAATATTAGCTACCATACAATACATGTCAAAATAAGCATTAATACAGATATTTTTTGCAAAACAGTTACTAATCTGAATCGATTTTCAATACTACTTAGAAATATATTCTTTCAATTTTTTTGTTATTTCTCGATTAAGTGCAAAGTGACCTGTTCAGTTGCTTAGAAAAATTAATTAATAAGTGTCGTTCAAGTATATTTTACATATTGTACAGGGGAAGTACAAAGATAAACAATACTACAACTCCATCAACTTTTCATAACGTCTAATTTATTTCAACACACTCTCAACAAAATACACACATTGCTGAATATTCTAAAGCACCTCGACCACGGTATCACCCGCCAGAGGCCCATTGTGAAAAGCAAAGTAACATGCAACAATAAGGGGGCGAGAGCGACGCAATTAACTAAAATGTAACCGTGAGGGGTGGAAACCGCCCCGGCTCGACACAGTGGATAGTTAACAGGGCTAATGGCAGATATAGAGTCACGGCTACCGCAAAGTGGCCGGAACTTGGGGAACCCCCTCCCCCTCCACTCACTAGCTTCTAGCTCCCCCCTCCCACTCTGTAACTCCCCCCACCCTCTTACGGCGACCACGGCCAGTATCTGACCCTAGGTTGACTCTAGTCCACTTCGGTGGTCGTCCGTTTAAATTAACATCAATTACCTGTGTTTACGCTACGCCTTCACCGTTGTATGTTATGAGACAATTGTGTTCCAAGTGGTTCATTTTGGTATTTTTTCATGCTTTAGTGTGTGTGTCATGTCTTTGAAAACCGGTACCTTGTGGTTTCAATATAAAGTTGCTACCAAAATATTGACGGTCAAATTCAGAGGGTTTCTCCAACAATTGTTTTTTAAGGAATTTAGTGTTTTGGCCAGGTTTAAATGTAATAGGCCTAACTATGCTTACATCCAAACAAGCTTTTATCCATTTACAGTTTTCCATTTTTATACAACATTTTATAAACACCCAAAATACTTTTTCGTTCTTCAACAAAGATTTTTCTAAGTTCTACAAAAAAATTTAAACATTAATTAATATATTTTAATAAAAAGTTCATCCATCAAAATTTGATTCGCAGAATAGCTTTATTTACTTGTGCCAATGTCCTTAGGCCTATGTCCTTTCACATAGGTCCTAATGAGATTCCTCATACATACATATAATCTCAATATTTCCACAACCTTATGAGCGATATTTTATTTACGTAGCTCAACCAATAATACCTTAGAGTAATAATATTTTACTTCTGCCAATATAAACTATAGAAAAGGCCAACAGTTCGTAAATGTTGAATGGCTACTCCAGATAGTTATATGTAGGGTCCGTATCGAATAAAGTTAGCCCTCAAGCTAGCAATTATTTCCGTTTATGGTCGTCATGAACGAGTTGCAGGGGTCGTACATCTACTGCAGCTTCCGGTAAGTTTATGACGTCACCGGCTACAGCCGCACATAAACGCGATATAACGTTAACGTTTATAACGTACTCTACACTCGCGTAGCGTTGTAACGTGTAACATGTCCGGTGATGGGCAAAACATATAAATGGTGAGAATCTAATAAGAGTGTCATGTAAAAAAAAATACTTACATTTCATTTTTGAATTAAAAGTAAAAATACAGTTGTCGATGATATACGTTTTCTGACAGAGTATAAATTCTTATCTCACAGACCTATAGCTTGCCCCTAGAGATAAGAATGTACAGCAGTACAGCCTAGGTAAACTGTGCTACAATAGGTCAATAGGCCGATTAATAACCTACCCCTAGCCAAAAAAGAGGGTTCCGAACCCCCGGGCTAAAACTAGTGATTACCACATTGAAACCTGAGCTACCAGCACAGTTCCCATAGTAACACCAGAATTAACACCGTCCTCTAAAGAAAAAAAATTAATAAGTTTGTTGAGTAAAAACAAACTCTTAAACACTTGACCGGCCTTGTACCCTCTTTTCTGTTATATACCCCTAATACATTTAACATTAATCAGCTAAAACCCTTCCTTAACCAAAATGCAAGTAAGATAAATTTGTTATGTGACTCACCGCTGTTAGACTTGACCTCCTCCCTGGTGTGCAGGTCAGGTTTGGCCAGCATGGAGAGGGGGTGGGCCCCGGGGGCGGACAGGGCACCGCTGAGGCCCAGCAGGGAGGCGGCAGTGCTAGGCGGGCCGGGCAAGCCGGGGTGAGGCATCATGGGCAGTGGTGGTGCGTGCCCGGCATGGGGCAACTGCTGGGCGTGCATCTGTTGCTGTAAAACGACACACGGGTCAGCAACAATGTTGCAAAACCAGGGAACTGATAGAGATTAATGTGTTTGCAGGAAAATTATGAGTATTGAAACAGGGTCCTTTGCCTATTATAGTGGACATCCCCTTACCACGTCGAAGTTAGCTAATTTTAAAGTAAACTTGAACGTAATCTGGATAAGCCTGTGGTCAAAGTATAGGTTCGAATTGCGAAGTTTATTGTTGTTGAATTGTGAAAGAAAGTAGCCAGCGTTTCGGATGCGTTGAGCAATCCAGCCAAATCATTGGGCGCCATCTTTGGAAACAACGCGGCAATTTCCAGAAGAACAATATTCGAAAACACGTACCAGAATGTCAATGAAGTATAAGTTGACAAATATGAATACACCTCATGGCTTCGTTACCGACTTTACCTATTTCTAAAAAACCATTTAAGTTGAAAGTCCAATGATCAAGGATTAACTAGTATCGGGGAAAACAATATACTAGAGGATCTGGTACTTAAACTTTAATATGAGACTGGGTGAGTACGTAATATTCAAAGTTGTTGCACAATACTGTATCCTCACAACCCAAATCTTGAACTAAATTACTCATTAGATCCTCTATCCCTTGGAATTACATACTTTTCCTTGAACTCATCCCTATCCCAATACACTCACCATACCCAGATACCCTACATTCTATCACTTCGCCCCACCCTCCGAACTACTTTCTTCCGCGTCACGCTCATTTTCACGCTGTATCCCTCCGCGTGACAGACCATCACGTTTCCCCGATAAACCGACGGTTATGGACTATAAACGTAACGCAAATGTGCACGCCTTGTGAAGTACTTGGCTGATGCGATGTTTACTACTTTTGCCTGATGGTATCGTTGGGGTGGTAATTTCCAACCAAGAAGACTCAATTTGACTATGAAATTTGGGCTAGTAAATTTGTAATATGAGGTTTATTTGGTCAAATCGTAGTTTGAGTACTTCTCGAGATTTGATTCTAAACGTGAGGGCATCGTTTGTAGATATCCTTTCATTAGACCTTGGGTTGACTTTAGAAAGTGTGCAAATAAGGTCCCTAATTAATTTGTCTCCTTGATGGTAAAACAAGTTCGGCTCTAAGTAGATGTACTGTATTTGCAGCAACACATTCTGTTGGTTAAACAAGTAACGAAAGAATCCATTTTTAGACGTCTCAACCTAATCAAATATCTGTTTGGGTAGCCGTGTTGTTGTAGCGCTCGCCTTTACGTCTAAAGGTTTCTGGTTCGATTCCAAGCGAGTACGATTCTATATCCAGATTCCAGGGTTTGGGCCGTTCCCTAAAAAAACTGTAAAAATTGTAAATGGCGTAGAAAACCAGCTACCAGTAATTAAAAATGAAATACTCTATTTTGCATATTCTTAGATATCGAAAGATTAAACCGTTTTAACTTGATTACACGCCGAACATGGATACACCGTTGAAAATATCCTGCTATATTTCGGATACACAGAACATCGCCCACAGTTTCCTACGTCAATATTTCACACTTGCACTCTTTCGGCAAAATGTCTTCCCCTGAGTCTGAGGAAATAAGCAATTCAAGAGTTTCCCAGCGAAATATAAAAGGGGATCGACAGACGCTACACACGGAGCGCCAGGGCACCCTTGTATTCATTGGCCAGGGGGAGGGGAGGGTGTAAATATTGAAGCAGCTTCAGACCTGAGAACAGCCCCCACAAACAGGGAGACATCCACGTGGCATGGGATATTTGAAGGGTGAACTTGTGGGGGGCAACGAGATGTGACAAGTCAAAAACAAACATGTAACACCACCCTGGAGTCATCACCTCCGGGGGTGTAAAAAACGGTAAGGGTAGGTGTGATGGTATGAATATGATGTTTAAAATTATTTGTTTGAATTTCAATTATTTTGAAACATACATTTGGTAAAATTATAACGAATATAGGGTGAGCCGATGTCAAAATTGGCAAGGTTAAGTTTAAATATTGAGTTCATTAATTATTGTGTTTAAAATAGCAATTACATTGGTCATTTGTGTTTAACGTGTTTAGAGAAAACTGCGTTATACAAGAAGGTATTCAGAGTACAGTCAGTGGCTCATCCACATCAAATTGTTTTTATTGTAAAATCTCTCTAACTTCAACATAAGAATGTAATGTACAGAATACCTCAAATTAGTGTTCATATCGCCAATAATATTCTGCTATAGTCAAAACTAATCTGCAATAAATACATGGAAAATTATACACATAGACATTATATCCACTAAACCAACCAACAAAACTCTCAATTCAATAAAATTCACGTTCGAGAAAATTTAATTTGAAAGGATCGAGATAAAGTCAATATCCTATGCAAATCTCGGCGTTTGGAAGCTAATTGATCTTGGGGGAGAAGGATATTGAAAATGCTAATCACCTGATTTCATTTCAAAAAAGCCCCTGAGCTCAATCCATTGCTAATTAGTCTGTGTAAGGCAGTGTGCGAAGAATGTACGGCTCGAGGCATTTTGTGAGCGAAAACACATCGAATGGAGTTTGGGGTTGAATAATCGAGGGGTTCCTTTTCTTCCGCCTCGTTTTTGCGCTTCATTTCGCCGTTGTCGGCGCCCTCCGATTTCACAATTCAATTTCTAGCATCGCCACTCTGTGTGAAAAGCCCCCCCCCCCGCGACCCCCCCGACCCCCCCCCCCTGTATTGTCTGATATTCAATCGGCCGGAACTCCGGGACGGAAAGGCGGCTTTTAGCGGGTTACAACAAAGTTGAGTTGGAACAGAACACTAATGAGTTTAAATGTTTCTGGACATGTGTTGAAATGTGGAATAGTTAATTTTCTAGGGCTTAATGTTTTCCTTTAGTGGTTGAACATAGCCTATTTACCGGAGGTGTTTTCAAGTTTTATGGAAAGGGCAAAAAGTGATATAAATAATTAGTTAATCAAGCAAAAAAATATCAACCTTAACACGAGTTTAATTTGTTCTGGAAATAAGAGTGTTGTTTGTTTGCTATGGATTTTTTGTCCTAGGACGCAAGCCAAGAGCCCGGAATTGTTTTTCACATTACTTCAGGCTAGACCAAGGGGTTGCGGCATTATCGCTTAGACCTCAATCGTGTCATGAAATTTACATGTTTAACCTCAATCAATTTGCAACATACCAACATTATCTTATGAATACTATACAAAATGGAAACACAAATAACGATGAATAAACACTATACAAACCTTCCTTACACTAAACATAACAACTATTGGGCCCTTCGAATAAAGCGTTTACAAATGTAAGAAAACACAGAAAAATACTAAAAAAGAGATTGAAAACAACACAAAAGTGCATCAAAACTAACAAAGACAAAAACACTGAACTGACGCACCCTCGTCCAAGCGAAAAATTTTGACAAAAGCAGAGCTAAAATTTAGAAGTGAACAATTCCAAAACATTTATCCGCACTTACCAACAGACGGGGGAGGTCAGGGCGTTGCTGCTGTGAACAAAAGAGAGAAAGTTGCGTTAAAATAACAAAACAACAAAACAAAACAAAGTGAAAACAAAAAGAGGAATAACAAAATTAGAAAATAATATAGGCCCACTTAATACTATGACACTCTACTGTGTACCTGATACGTGTTAAATATATACTACTTATATAATATGTTTAAGATAATAAAATAACAATAGTTAAAAATAGGTGCATAACTTTATCTTATCTATATCATAAACGTACTTTGTAACTAAATAAAAACGTCGTTGTAAAAGGTACTTTACTGTCCGACATAAATTTTAAGATACGCGATTTGTAGTTTTTATAATTGTACAATTAAATCCGTTTTAACATTAAATGTAAATTATTTTATCGCAGACAAGAGTTTGAAATAAAAAAATAAGGTAAATTAATAACTTTTCTGTTGTGGAAACTAGTTTAAAGTGGTAACATAAATCCTGAAATGACCGTCTCGGTAAAATTTATTTTAGCAGCAAAGCTAAATTATTTAACAATTCCACAAAAATAGAGTGCACGGTAAAGTTATTTGCAATGTCAGGGTGAAAAATTATAGAGAAAATAAGAGATGATAATCCCTTACATTAAACTTAAATTGAGTACATACAAAACTAATGAAAAAAATTGTGTATGTAACCACAGAATTGTCGGTTATTTAACTAACAACTAGGATTTTTATTTAATTGTATATATTTAGTTTTAATAGAATGTGTAAGAATACAATACGTGTTAAAATCGCTAAAGTGAAAAAACCCCAGACCCAAAAGTTTTTAATTCAGAAGTGTTAAGATCTTACACACACAACCTAAGCTAGAGGCGACCCACCCTCCCCTCGCCCTACAGTATATACCCAATCAGTGGATCCTGCAAGGGTTAATTTCCAATTTCCGTCGCCCCGACACAATTAACCCACCTTTAAGCCAATTAGTAAATTACACCAAGTTAGTAGGTTGGCGTCAACGTAGGGGGGGGGGGAAGGGGGGTGGTTACAAACTCGGGTCTTCCTCTGTAAACTAACGAATTGCACTGTACTGTTTTGTTGCTACTTTGACAAAGGATATTGTACTACAGGTTTATTGAACAAAATATTTAATCGATGGTGGTGTATTTTTGATTAATCGAAAATTAATTTATATCTTAGAATTATATATAAGACAATTGAGTTTGGATTTTGCTGGTAAACTTCTTATGTTGTATGAAGCTTGCTTTGAATTGTTACACTTCCGATTGAATTGAAAACTGCCTATGACTAAATATTATCCTTTTATTTCAAGACAAATGTTTCAGTGTCTACTTTACTTTTTGTAAGACTAGAGGATAAGCAATTTTTCAAAATTAAATAGTTTTTGGTCAATTTATATTATATTTGAATCTTGGAATTACATTCACAAACCGGACAAGAATATGCTTAAAACACTTTTTTATCTGGCCCATAATAATGGGAAATTTGTAAAAAGTAAATTTAATGCATACATACCACTTCCCCAGCCCCGTACAACTAAATATCATCAACATCAGCCCCCGAAATGTGGAGAAAATTCTGAATCATTTTAAAAATCTACAGTCTGGCCAAAGACGAACCCCAGCAAATAAAAACATTGACATGAAATAAAGAGAAAGCAAAGCAGATTTCCACCGAAAGGGGCAAAGTTGTGTCAATGAGTAGAATCATTATCAGAGTTTTCACGGAGCTTGAGCATAAACAAATCTGGCTCCAACTTAACTCATCGCGCCGCGTTATTAAAAATGTTTCAAATAATTCCCGCTTCAAAGGAGCACCTTGATTAAACACGCTGATTCTCCCTTGAAAGTAACGTCAAAGTTTATAAAGTCGGGGGAAGCTTGGGAATTTATTATTCATGCGGATTATTGTGGCTAAATTATTTTGAAGCAAACAACTTTGTGTTTGGAAGCTTTTAAAAGTGGTTTATCTTTAACTTGAGATATCCTTTTACTCTGATAATGGTAAATACAATATGTATGCTGTAGGGTCTAGTAGTGTGGCTTTTGCTCCATAGGAAAGTTGTTTAATCTAATAAAAAGTAAAAGTTCCTGATTATTAAAATACATTTTCCAATTTGGACATTCATTTGTTTAAATCAGTCCTCTAAAGCAGATGCAATTTGGGGTGTTTTTCAGAAGAAGGCCGCCACTATTTAAACAGTAGAATAACCACAGTTTAGGATTTGCGATTTTTGAGTTTTTGTGGTTATTTCAGTTTAGTAAACAAAAAAGTGTGCGTAAACACAGAAAACAAACTACTTTAAAGCTATAAACTAAGCTAACCTAACCTAAACAGTGGTTATTCTACAGTTTAAATAGTGGCAACCCTTTTTTGAAAAAGACCCAAAATTTGTAATAAAAGTGTTGTAAGGATAATGGAACATAACGTTATGGAATTACTGCGACTTTAACATGGGAACGGAAATTCGTGGTACTAGCCTATAGTAAAGACCAACAATGATCATTTTTTACAATTAAAACTCTTAAAACCACTTAATTTTTATGGTACCCCAATATGTTCAAACGGCCCAACCCTTTACCCGATGATATTCCGAGCACGCACAGTTTGCTAACAACCCAAACAAACGGTCCAGTGGCATTCCGATAAAAACGAGACGGAGAATTGCGCCGAACACGTAAAGACGAAAAATAAACAGTGGATAAAAAGTGATTCGGTTTCCGAGCACGGATCGCCACACAATATTGCAAAGGTGATATTTTCTGTTGAGCGCGACTTGCATGGCACGTAGTCAGCCGATGTGTTTCGTGGTCTGAATAAACATGTGACAAAACGTTGGCAACCCTGCTGCGGTGCTGTCATTACCAACATTGCGGCGTTGAAAACATAGTTGGCGACAATACTATATACTGTGTGTACGAGGGGAGTTTTATTGATCTGGAATAGTGAACAAACATGTAGCCCTTAACTTAAACCAATTATATTTCAACTTTGTTTAAACAAAATAAAACAATACATTTATAAAGCTACTATTGTCACATCAAACCATTTTCAGATATTGCAATAAAATGAAAAGTTTAATTCCGGTATCCGGAGTAATTTTTTTTTGTTCTCATATGCTTATAATGTTTAACTCAAAACAAAGATATTCAACAAAAGTAAAATAGTTTTTTTTCAGTTTGTTTTTGTGAATATGCTTTAAAACTTAAAAAATACGACATAAGAAAACAAAAAACTATTAAATCAAATTCAGTTCTAACATCATATTTTCACCTTGGGACTTGAAATAAATAGCAATTATTCATCATTTTATCAAAACCATACTTTTTTAACCCTGCCATACAAACGTGCAGAATATTTTAAGTTCAACCCTTGGAAAACATCGTGGCCTAAAATTAATGACACGAATTCACAGGGCTCATTACTTAGTAAAGATGGCCCCGAAATGAAGAAGCTATTAGCCTCCCCTACATCCCCTAGCTGGGGTCCGAACTGTAGGGTGTCACGCAGGGTTGTAAGTCACTAAGACTTAACGTCCGCGTAATTTCCAATTTCCGGGGCTGCAGGCGCCCAAATTAACTCCCGTCTAACCCAATAAGAACGCCGCCTGCTCGCCAGATTAACAACTTCCTTCGGATCTTCCGCAATCTCAGACTAAGTCCTGCCTTCCACGAGTTTGGGTATTGCACAACTTGCTGATCTTGGTTTAGGTAGGCCAGGGTAGGAGGTTATATTAGTTTCATTGGTAGTTTGATTGAATTTAAATGAGGAAATTTAATTAAAATGTAATTGAGGAACTCATCGACAACATCATTAGCAATTTTAAACCGGTGTGGATTTTTTGTGCAAACAATTTCAGGAAAGAGCGAACGCCATTCTCCTTTTTCCAAAATTCTTTTCCCAGCTTCTAAGTCATACAAAATGCCAAATATCTATGAAAAAGTAAAGGTTTCACCGACATTCTTTGAAGTGTAAACATTTCACTGTGGTGTAAACAAAACAATCCCTACATTTACTATCTATACTCGTTCATTATTTATACTGTACTAGAAAGATAAATCACAACGATACTGCATAGCCAATATAAACTCTCGAGGTCAATAGCCAATGCTGACAATAATCGGTTTCAACAGTTCTCCAACGGCGCACGACTGAAAACTTATCTTACGCAAACAGCTGTCAATAGTTTCTTGTTGACCGAAGCGAAGGTATTTCTCCGCAAACACTGTTTACTGTTTATGTACCTAACCTACACAGAGACATCTAGGCTTGCCCACGGATTGGCGTTGACCGCTTGCCGCCTCCTCTGTTCTGTTTTGAGTTGCCAAACAGTAACGTAAAGATGAAGTGTGTTGTAAAACGGATTTAGTACTGTACTAGGTGATAGTATGACTGTACTGCTTTATTTTATTGGACGCAGATAATCATTGCACGTTTGAAGGAATAAACTTCGAAAAGAATTAACTTAGAAAGTATATTCCTAGGTATATCAAGATTCGAACTTGAAATAATATTTTACATTAGTAGGCTAGGCTTTGCAACCACTAACAAAACAGTATACATTTTTATTTTATAAATTCTCTGCAAGCGATTTCAAGGATTTTTAAAGGCAACTAATAAATTTCAATGCTACAAAAATTATATTAAAAATTAACATTAACCCTAATCTCAATGAAGATAAAACTATCAAACCCCACTGTGAAAACTAAATATTTTCATGAACATAATTTCTAAAACATTTTCACGTTCACAAAAAAAGATTTTATTTTTTTACCGACCCGGTTAATGTCTTTGATGAAAAAATATTGATCGAAAATTTCTAAACCAAACAATACACACCCGAGTAAAAATACACATAAACTCCAAATCTCAAAGACAAAAGAATTACCCTGTCGTACCTTACCCAGCATTTTTTTCAAATTTTAAAATTTCACCCCGACTAGAAATTCTCAAAACAGCCACACCACAACACAACCCTCAACTTACAGGTGTGTGTTAACACTTGTACTCTTGTAGTGAGTGTAATGTGGGATGTCTACACTGAGGGGGTTATGTTGGAGGGGGGGGGGGTAATTATAGTGTTAACACGGAGCAGACCCAGGGGGTGGGGGGAGGGGGCTCCTTGCCAATTTGTGACCGGGTGGATGTTTTAACCTAATTCCGACAGCAAAGTGCTGACTCCGGCGCTATCAGCTTTAATTACAACATTCCAACCCTCCTCGCCCTCATACAATCTTGCCAGACCTTTATTTGGTTTTAAACGTTTATTGAGTCTTTAAACGGGTTTCCCGATTCTCTCCGTCTTAACCCTTGGGCTTTGCGGTAATGAAATGGTGTCAACTAAAATTTGTTTCACATTTAAAGTATATTAGGTTGTTTTGATAAAATGGTTTAATATTTATCATTGTTTTAAGTGCATTTATCGCAACGGAAACTAACAATTATAGAATTTAATATTCTTAATTTTATTATCATCGCTGTTGTGTTTGTTGTTTTTTTTTATCCATCAGAATGCTGTTATTTTTGTGGGGCGGAATGTAATTAGATAATTAAATTATTTATTTATACTGATGCTTGAATATCAAGTTTTTAATTCTATTCCCAACCCCACTAAAAGTCGGTTGTCTCGGATTAGCTTGATAATTTTATATTGGGTAAATAATAGGACAAGATGTATTGATGTTAGAATTAAGTGACAAAATAACATATCATTGACATTATTTTGACTTATGAGTACAACAGTTTTTTTTACATAATATCAGCAAATTTTTTCTATTATAGGCCTACTGCCAATTTTCAACCTTAAATTTATAAAAATCACTGGTGTAAATTAATTTATTCCATCAACATATTTTCTACATTTCTATAAGTCTAAAAAACATTCCTTCAAGTATCCATAATAGGACTAATTAACTACTCACAACCCGTACACGAATTAAACATTTAAACATCAAAGTTGTCCAACCATAACATTTTTTTTACGAGATAGATTATTTAAGCATTTATAATTTATCTCAAAATTTACAACGAACTAAATACTCAGATAAAAAACGCATCATACCATATGGGAAAATAAATGTAATTAATAGTCTATAAAATAATCTTTATTTAAGTTTTTTTTTTATTTTATACCACATTTTAAAAATGATCGTGCAACCGTCTCCAATAATTGCTCTATCCGTAGACGTAAACATTCCAACAGTTCCGTAACAGATTCATGAATAATCAACGGTGAAAGACAAACTGTTCCTCCAGTGCTGCCACCCACTCGAGGCCGGCTGCGTGTTATACATGTAACGAGCACATGTAATTAGGAGCCCAGCATCGTGTTCAGGGGTGCCAACCTAATACACGGCTTACACCTCCACTGCTGCCAACTACACAACTACAAGCCGCATTTCCCACACCACCACTAACACACTATAATAGAGTTTGTGATACGGGAATAGAAACAGTGTGATGTTGTTTTGCAAGAACGACGATAGTTTAAGTAATTGTTTTTACTAAAATATTGACGTTATTGTTAATTTGGTGTAATATAGTTAAAAATTAACTAGCTGTCAATGTGTATAAAATAATATTTATATTCTGTACGCTACTTAATTCATTTTCATACTTCATATAATACTTTGTAAATTAAATTATTACTACTATGGCTTCTCGTTATAACTTAACTTAACACGTTATCTGGCGAAACAAAGCTCGTTGCAGTACTAGGGTGTAGATTGAAAATTATTAGTTAATGTATTCAAGACTTAACTAACTTAATTAAACTGATATTATAAAAAAGAGTAGTATAATTAATTGAAGACCTTACTAAAACACGGAATATAGTTTATTTTTAATAATTACAAATAAAATAGCAACTCACCCCAATGATGGCGTTCAGTTCGGTCATGGTAACCTGCTTAGCACGCTCCACAGCAGTAGCGACCTGCTGTTGGTGCTGGAACAACAAGGAACTGGTTACAACGAGGAACTGGTTATATCGAGGAACTGGTTATGACGATGAACTGGTTACAACGAGTAACTGGTTACAACGAGGAACTGGTTATGACGAGGAGCTAGTTATGACGAGGAACTGGTTACAACGAGGAACTGGTTACAACAAGGAAGTAGTTAACGAGGAACTGGTTACGACGAGGGACTGGTTACAACGAGAAACTGGTTACAACGAGGAACTGGTTACGACGAGGAACTGGTTACGACGAGGAACTGGTTACGACGAGGAACTGGTTACGACGAGGAACTGGTTATGACGAGGAACTGGTTAAGACGAGGAGCTAGTTATGACGAGGAACTGGTTATGCCGAGGGACTGGTTATGACGAGGAACTGGTTACGACGAGGAACTGGTTACAACGAGGAACTGGTTACAACAAGGAACTGGTTATGACGAGGAACTCTTTATGACGAGGAGGAGCTATTTAAAAACAGGAACTAGTTACAACAAAATACTGGGTGCAATTAACAACTCATTGCAACGAGAACTGGTTAAAGCAGCAACTGATAGCATGTACATGTATGTACATGTTGCCAGGTGTAATTGGTTAAAACAAAAATTGATTACGATTAATTGGTTTAAGATATTATTAAGAAATAAAACATGTTAAAGATGTAATTTTAAAATAAAGTGTCACTGTGTAAACTACCAACTCCAAAGTACCAAAAAGAATTCATCCAAAAATTTTAGGTTAAAAAAACATTTTGTGAAATTATAAGCTATTTTGTCCAATGGTTCAAAAATTAATAACCTTATACAACTATTATTTCCACTCACCTCTTGGGAAAGGAAGGGAAGGATTTGTGCTATGATAGCATTCAGTCTCTTTGCAATTTCAGTCTGCAACAGAAAAACACATAATTTAGTTTCAGTTTATACGTATGATTACTGAATTGGAGGCAATTACAAATATTAATTAATATGTAATTATTGATCCTGTAAACATCAAGGTATAACATTGAAATTGAAACGTTACAAGTATACACGCGAAAAACTGCAAAATAAATCCCTATTTAAATTTCGGTTACAATATTACTCAAACATTTAACTGAAATAATTATATCCTGCAATATGGATACTCCAAGACCTACTTAAAGCTGACCTACTTCACAAAATTATTATTTAAGTCAATAAAATTAAACACGTTGTCTCCAGTTATTTCTAAATCACGAAACGGAAACCACATCGATGTAATTTAATTCTGTTTCAATCAGTCCTAAAGATGCACTGACCGAAACCAATTTGTTATAATAATTGAACCGAAATTGTCCAACCACATTAAACCAGTTCCATTACAACTGTTACCACATCGCGCCTTTAAATAACTGTTTTGTCTAGTCGTCGAATATAATATTTACTGACATAATGCACCATTCGTGGTAATGATTGTATTTGTGTTTTAGTCGTAACGTATTTATCATATGGTCTAGTGTATTTGTGGTGAGGTCGAGGTGTATTTGTGGTATTTGCAACATGGTCGTTGGCTACAGTAGTTGTGGTATGGTCAGAATGTTTGTGGTTGATGGTAAGTTCATAATCATACCATTATGTTAACAGTTTAGTAATTTAAACATGAATCTTATCTGCTGTAAGCTAGAAACGTTGGATTTACTTAATTCGAAGCAAACCCATTGTCTCTCGAAAAATATAAGTACAGTATTATTTTATCACCAGGTATTAAATTTCATCCGTCCATAAAAACATTTCAAAATCAATATAAGCAGTTTTAATAAGTTGGAAGTTGTATACGGATTAACCCTTTAAAACTCTTATAATTGTTTATAAGTTAACCTGAACTATTTACAGCGTTACAATTATTGAATCCCTTCATAATCCGACCCAACCGAGGTTCCAAGTCGTACGGATTAATGAAATACCGGATTAAAGGGGAATAATGATAATATTCACAAAAATTATGCTATTCCGGGACCATTTGGGTACACCATATACCTTAAACATGAAATAGATTAAAGAACGTACTATGAATAAAAAAAACAGTAGTTACGTACTAAAATAAATGTACAGTAGCTGGTGTGGCTCACACCGGCGCATTTACTAGCAATATTATATGTGTAGACTATGTCAAATAGCTATCCAGATTGTAAAGTCCGTAGTAACGGGGTTTACTATAACCTAAAATTGATATATTGCATATTCATTTTCCGCGAGCAAAATAAAGTACCACAACAACCAATAGTTAGCGATATGAAATGTTTATAAATGCTGCTAGCCGGATTAAGCGAAGTCCGTATAAACGAGATCCAAATTAAGAAGGTTAGTATAATCACTTACCACCGTTGGGTGTAAGCGTTCAATACTTATTACGTTGCAAATAACAGCACCGCAAACCGATGGTTGGTATAGCAAGGAATGCTGAACTTTCCCACGAAGCTAAGTGGTGTCGGTGATATGTGATGTAGGTAAGGGGGGGGGGTGGTGGGGGGTAAATGTCACCCCTTCTCTTCGGTTTGACGTTACATGGTGGAATGGAAAAATGCTGTTACCTCTTTAGGTATTCGGGAGTATCAATGTTTTATAGTATTGAATATTTTGAATATTCGGTCATAAATGTAAATATAAAATACCTTGACGTTAGGGTGGTTTCAAAATAAACTGTACTTTGGCCTACTAATAGGTATTTAAATATTATGATAATACATTTTCAACCTCCACGCCGTTTTAAAGTTTTTTTTCAGTCTTAAAAAACTATTTTTTACATTCAAGTTGGTTTTTATTTTATTTATAACTATTTACAATTAACTCGAATTATAACTTGATTATTGTTTACAACATTTGTTCAACAAACTATATTAACCAAAGACTTGTAAATGAATAATGGTGTAAAGCGCCTTTTAACGTTTAAGTATCACCCCAACATCAACTACATATAAACAAATTGTCAAGTAAAAATGGCCATGTGATTATACTTTGCCTGATTATATCAAGAATTCTTCACTTCGTTCGATTCCCCTCGATCTAATTCAATTTATTTAGCTTACCCGCGTCCCTAACAAAATAAAGTTCAATCCTTACAGAACGCTACTCATGGTTTTGAATCCAAACTGTATTTTCACTGAGGTAACAATTAATAATACTTTTTAACAAAACACGTTTGACCAAAATTACATTTTGGATTTTTCCATGAATAAAACTTAAAATCCAACCACAACAAATTTAAAACAAAATACAGTACTCAAACAACTACAGACGTTTCAGACGAAATCAGTTTGTAAACAGTAGTCGGCTAGATTGGTCTCATCGTTGAGAGGCCACTGGTCGCATCGCACCCTTGTCAATGCAAACTGTTGTAATACTAAACCACAGCGGGGTGGATCTCACCCTCGTGTGTACACTATACTGGCCTCGGGGGAACAGGGGTGGAATATTCTCTGTAAGGAAACACCACTCGATGAAATTCGTACGAAAAACTCACGCATTTTAGCCACAGCCGTTGTTCTTAGTGTTATAAAGGAAAATAAAGTAAAAGGAACGAAAATAGTTCTTTAAATAAAATAAAGCATCGGTTTTTTATAGGAGAAATATAGTAAGATGTGAACAATTACGTCTCAAGTCGATGGTGAAATTTTAATAATTAGTATAAGTTAGATTTTTGCAACGAATGTTTTGTGTTGTTGCTTATTGTGAAAATTTTTAATAAAAAATCTAAAAAAAGTTTTTGATGCAAATTACTACAAAATTAATATAAGTTTTTTTGCTAACATATTTTAAATAATTAACATGTATCACTGGAAAAAACATTCTGAAATGACCTCACACTGAGTAATTATTATAAAGTGGAAAATGCACATTTTGATTCATTTCAACCCGAAAATTTTCAATCGTATTAATTTTTATAATGTCTTACTAGTCGATGTAAGAGGCAAAAATGTTCATCCGCAAAGTGTTTAGTACCATCACAAACGTGCAACTTTTAAAAATCCAATAGCAAATTACTAGAAAGAATTCCACTGAACAGATCGTGGTGTAATCCCACGTTATAATTACGCAACAATGTCAAATTTACCAATTACAAAGTCAAACACATCACCCCATAGTACCACCCTATGTCCATCAACCGAACCCCACATTGGAACATTCAACGTTCGTGCGAGCGAATCTCCAAATCTAATCACTCCCCTACATTAATCCCCTGTTATTCTCATGAAATGCAAACAGGCCGTTTCATCAACCCTCGGCCTGAGGCCAGATGTCTGTTGATGACGCGAAGGGTGGAAATGCGCAATTAGGGTGTTTATTTGGACTGGGGTGCTGCGCGGCAGATGCACACTCGCGGTCCCCCAGGGCAGCGTTCTCGGGCCTCTGCTCTTTTATCCTCGAGCAATGGGATTGGATGGGCTTTTCACACTGGGACTACGGATTAGGTCGAGTTGACAAGGTCTATTTGTGTTTTATTGGCTCGAGATCCAGTTCGGGTTTGTGATGAGTGTGACAGATTGAATTGATCCAATCAAGTTCTTTTTTGTAATTTATGGAATAGCTAATTACGAAGTAAACATTTTAAATTATGCACATGTTTAACGCTAGGGAATGCATTTTACTGTTTAGCTTGAGTGGTTAAAGTGCTAGCCTGATAAGCACGAGGTCACCGGTTCGATTCTGAGTTGCTTGTGATGGTTCAACGCTGGACTTAGCTGTCCTCAATAATTGGGCTTGAGTTTGAATAATTATTCATACAAAAGAGACAGCTGTGGTCTTAGTCAGTAAAGCTTAGCAGATAATCTCACTCTATTCTACAATCATCATTCTCTAATTTTTTGTACGCACCAAGTTAGCTACATTAGTTCGATTTGCTATATAAAAAAATTAAGTTCGACATATTTTTTATACATACTTTAACTATTATTTTCAAGTTGATATTGCTAAGAGATCGGTTTCGATACATGCAAGTTAAAAATCCGTCAAAAGGTTCTTAAATCCCCAAAACATATAAACCAATAACTAGTAAACACTGTTAGATGATAAACAAAATATTATCACTTAAAAAAAAACTAAAATTAAACACCCGTATTTGCTAAAACCTCAGTTAAACTCCAATTACACTCTCGCCACGGGACGCCGGTTACCAACATGTAACCCGAGTTATTATTTCCCGCGCTTTGTTCCACATAATTATCGGTTAACCGCCATTTTCCAATTATGTGCAGTTTGGTTCACAATGGCGAATTATTCCCCGCGCTTCGTCCGGCTTTCGCCGATAAACCCGTTTTAATACTCGGATAAAAACTAGATGACGAAATGCGGCGGATTAAATATACCCCGCGCAAAACTACATGGCGGATTAATATACCCCGCGCAAAACTACATGTCGGATTATACGGTGAGAGATGTGGATCTGCAAATGTGAAACGGTAATCGCGTTAACACGACAGACTGACAACAGCTTTGGGGGGTTTCAACTTTGCTAAACATATGGATTAATTTATTTTTTTGTAGTAAAATGTAGCTTAAACTCATTACTTTTACTTATCCATACACTGAAAATTAGTACAAATATTTGTACAGTAATAGCCAGTTTGGAACAAATACTTAAATTTGGGTAGATGATGGTGTCCATGTAATATACTCTTTTCTTACACACCAACACATAGATCGTGCAAAACTAAAATTAAAATTGTTACATATTTTAAGAAATTGCATCTTCTAGGTCCCCGTCAAATATCATACAGTAGTATGTAGGTATTAGAAGTGGAAGTTAAATGTATACTGTAACAAGTAACAAACTCTATGCGAACTTAGGAATCTACTACAGTAGAGAAAAAGATTCTACAGCTGAACTATGTAAATTGAATGTTAATTTTAGTATCCACAATCTATGTATA